GCGTATATATCTGCTATTGCATTTTTCCTGTGCACATACCTCTTCACTTTCTAATCATCGTCTCCATTCACGAAATAGCAAAGTGGCGGAAGATGTGATGATGAGCTGAGTTGAGATGAAATATCATTTTTCCGTCATCATTCCTCTTTCTTGTCGTTGTCACCGTAACTACGTCGCTTTTCTTTCAATTCAAGAAAACATTCACTACATCAATTCGTTTTCTTACTAATTCACTGCTACATTTTTTCATTACTGTAGCTTATTCTTCTTATTGTTTAATCGATTAATTCATTTTTTATATTATTTTTATGGTTGTCCACTAAGATCGTTGGGTTTTCTGTTGACCTTAGTCCCCAAACACAACTTTTCTACAATGGAGCCAATTAACCTTTTATTAAGTTTCCTGTTCGACATGTGGCTTTCTGATCTATTATTTTCTTTATAATGTTTCCTTGGTTTTCCGTCCTTTCGATGATCTTGAAACTGATTCCTTCATTAAAGGATTTCTAAAATTGGAACTCACAAATAACATTAAACATAATACAATAGACACGAGATAATTTCCCGGATTTTATGGAAATAATTGAATAGAATTTGAAAAAGTGTTGCGCAATGTGTTTGTTTAAAGAAGTAAAAGCATTCCGTCCTTTCATATTATAAGTTTTTTTAATCGATGTTTTTTCATTTTCTTTTTTTTGTGGTCGGTAGTAATACTGGAATGACAGATGGTTATGTTTGAGGAATTTAAAAAAAGGGAGGGATAGAGAGAGGTAGAGGGTGGAGTAAAGGAAAAAAACCGCATTTCATGGTCACACAAACACGCACACACATATGCAACAATTCACAGTCTGTACGAAAAATCTTAGATTTTATTGTCTTGAAAAAACTTTGAAAACTATCAATAATACGCTTACAAGTTCAAACTTATTTTTCGGTTCACCATCCAAAACAACGTTAACATATGTTCTTCGGATGTATCTCGTTTATTTGTTCTCATAATATAAGTTTCTTCATTTCTCGGGTAAATTTAGCCCCGCTGTGTACTTCCAGAAATTCAACAGATTTGTTAATAAAGGAAGCACATAAGATTGGTGAATTTAGTAGCATTATAACTTAAATTTCCTTATTTTTCCAGGAAACTTAACTCTCTCCAAAATCAACGAATTTTTACCTTTATGCTCAAAAAATTAACTAATACCTTTATATTGTGGACGTAGGAATGATTGGTTTTAGCAGATTACTCTTCTATACTATCCTTTGTTTAATCGAACTTCGTGGATCAAATGTGCTTAAATTCATTTCGGATGCTGCCATGATTTTGGCAAATCTAATTTAGGAGTTGCCCTCGTAAACAAATATTGATTTCATAGTGGATCAACACGACTGGAAGAATGTAACAGTTTTTAAATTTTTACGATTCGTTTGTTGTTGCAGTTGCTGAAGCAGACGTTTTTCAGAATATCCATGAACGTGATCGTTGATTTTAAAGATAAATCTACAACTGCAGCAACAAACGAATCGTGAAAATTCAAAAAAAAAAACTTGACACAAAATTTTTGGAATAATTTTATTAGTGAAAAAGCTACATTAATCGGGAGATGTATAAATACTATGATACAAATTCGTAATCGTTATTGTTGTTTTGTTCTGTATACCACGATCAGTTAGTGGTTTGCTGTTATGATTACTGTTTGAGACTTCAATAGAAGGAAGTATGAGAAATTCATGGATTATTAGCTAATGATGAATCTTGTTGCTCTTATTTTTCTTCCTAAACTGAGAAAATAAACCATTACGTATTTTAACGGTTAGATTGGTTGCTATGCGTTCTGATAGTTTCTAACAAGGATTAATATAAATTTGTATAAATATAATGTTGAATGTAACCTCTTCGAATCTACTGGTTATTGTTGTGGGATTTTCTTGAATTAGCTATATGAAGTTTAAGAAGGGGCGTTAGAGTGATAGTTCCCTTAGTTTTGCCTTTTCACCATATGGTCCTTGATTTTGCTTTCGGGCAAAAGGCATATAGATGCAAGCAGTGAAGTTGGATAATATAAAATTATGGATGGGAACGTCTCTCAGAAAGCATTCGCTTATGCTCCGTCAAGTAAGATCGCTTTTCATTGTTATGAACAATAGTGTTATAAGAGGATGAGAAAAGGTGGAAAATATGCTTGTAAGATATTCGGCCTGTTTCCGTTGCGATAAATCGGTTCTGCTTCAGTTGCTATGATTAATGAAGCCGTACTTAACAACTATTTCCTTCCCTGTAGTTAGTTACCTACTGCTATTTTTTTTAATATTCAAAATATTTGCATTTCGTTCAAATAGATTTTGTTTTATACCTTCCGGCTGGCTTTTATCTCTGATGGCCATAGCGATAGTGGTACGTTATAGTACAGTTGAGAGGTGATAATAGTGATATATTAGTGGTAATTGTGATATGCTTTCTAGTCACAAATATGCGGAGCAGTGATACATTCGTCTTGTCATCGAACGTGGGAATACAAAGCATTGCGGTAGTGTGTAGCTTTCAGGGATACTACTGATTTCTTGCGAGGTTTGTGATTTGTCATGGTTTGGATGACGGAATAAGCGGTTAATATGTAAGTTATGAACAGAGGATTGAAGTGTAGTTTGACTCAGTTGACGTGAAAATCCTCTATTGAGCCTTTATATTACGAGATTGATCTACATATATCAGTAAGGTTTGAAAAGGTAGAAAAAAGTTGAGATTAGATGCTGTTGTCATTACATATAGCATATTTATTGTGTAAAATATGTAGGTAAAAAAGCCAATTGGGGTGATGTATCGTCCACGTTTTTTCTTCCTTTTTTAAAGTACAGAGTTAGATACATCTACCGAAATGAATGAACAAGGCATATTTTCTGCATGATGTGATGCACTTCGCCTTAACTTTATGCATATGTGTTGATAGAATATCAAAGTGTTGTTTCCGCACAAATATTCGCTCACTTACCGATAAGCTCAATTATTACGCATTCCTTTCGATTTTGCTTCTGAGTATTTCGGTGATCTCGATTCTTTACTCAGATTTCGTTTATTTTTGCAATTCCTCCGGGATGATTTCCAAACCGGCTTGTTATTTCAACATATCGTAAGGCAGAAGTACGTCTGTGCAGAAGTAACACTTTGATAGTTCATCAGTAGATTTAACTACACCTTTTGTGCTGCAGTTGCTAAATTTTTCTGTTTTTCTAAGAAATGGGAATAGAGATACGAATTAAGCTTAAAGTTATTGCTGATCAGAAACAGTAGTGTCATTGTTTCTTCATGTTGCAAAGTATTAGCAAGATTTGAGGATTACAGATTGCAGCGGAAAAAGAAAATTCGGTTTATGAGGTGATTGATTCCTAAAATAACTCTTTTTCTGATTATTCTACTTTTTTCTGATTGTCTCGGGATTTCGTTCGCTGAAATTCTCTTTTATTTTGCTTTATTGTACGGGACAAACCAGATAATCAATGCTTTTTATTAAAACTTCCGAATGATTTTATCCGAAATCTTTGTTTTGGTGAGTAATAATTTCTTTTAAATTCATGGATGTTTCTGAAGGTTAGGGGAACTTATAAAGTCTGTTTGATCCGACAAGATTGTAATTAAAGCAGTGCTACTGTGAACTGCTTTACTGCAAATACATTATTGTTATTTTAATACATCCTAGCATCTTTGTTACCTCTCATGATAAATTGTTGTCTTCGATAAGACTTTCATGGGGTTTGGAAAGTCTGATAAAGATCTGAGATCACCTAAATGAAATACGTTATGCTATAGTGAATGTCATGATATTTATAGATAAAGATACTCATGCACCAAATAATTTCTTGAAATTTATTCCACCTCGATATTTATTTAAGCATTCTATGCAAGGAGAAATTATTGAAGTTATTGAGAATTAATGAATGTAATGGATGACGCCTGCGACAAATGAAATTTGAATCTTTGGATTTATTTTCAAAAGATTCTTCACTGTTTCAAAAAAGGAAAGTGATCTTACCGGTTCTGGTGAAAAAGTAACATTTGTAGCATTTTCTTTTCTGCCTACTGAAAAGCTGTCGTTTAATTACTCAATAGAGGCACTCTTTTTTCTCTTTAATTCCCTCTCTTTCTCCCTCCCTCACTCTCTAGAAGAGAAAAGGAAGGGAGAGTCGTGGGATTGAATAGGCTTTTGATTGCCTTTCCTTTTTTTTTCTTGGTTTCAGTTCGATGAAAAAGTTTATCTTTCCCTAATATATCCTTTTTCTTTTTTATTTGACGAGTTTCAATTCCTTCTATCTATCTATCTATCTATCTATCTATAGTTACTGTTCCCCTCGTTTTCTTTTTTCATATGACAAGTGTGAAATTTCAAAAAAATAAACCACATTATGGGTAATGTGTTATAGAAGGCATTAATTTTCAATCAGCTGTGAATTCTGCTACATAGCTTATAATTCAATTAATGATTTTTTTCATGGGACTTCTTGTTCTGTTTTTTCTTTCCTCTTATCACGGGATCAGAATGTGAAATATCACAACGATGTTAATGCTTAAGATAGTATATGAACAGTTAATTCCATTATTTAAAAGGAATGTTAGAAAATATAGGGTAGTTTTTAAGATAGTATATGAACAGTTAATTGGATTGATTTGATTTTGAAAAAACAAACGGTACTTCATCATATTCTGTCTTGGATTTGTTAAACTCTATAGAGATGCAGAAGTGAATCTTCTCAGCTGATTCGATGACCCATCGAAACAGCCGTGATGAGTACCATTCATTTATAACTCTGTTGTAAATTCAGCTGTCATTTGTGACGTGCACCGTCTTAATGATGAGTTTTCCGCTATAGTTAAACTATAATTCATCCATGATATTATTACTCATGAGCTTCCTGTTTCTACTGAGATTGGATTTCTTATTTTGGTCGGTTTAGCAGATTTTGAAAATGAAAGTTAGTAGTTAATTTTTATTTTTTTCCTGCATAATAGTGACATGGGTTCTTTTACGCAGGCCAATACCAAAATATCTATCTCTGTAACTGTTCTGACAAGTCAATACACATTGTATAGTCTGGTTTCCGAATTTTACTTTTCGATTCACTACTGGCCTAATCTACTGGTTGTGATAAAAGAGTTCTAGTTTCGTTTTGCATCGTGTTCAACAGTTCCTTATCGATTGTTAGCAAATCTACAGTATGCATTTCAAACAGTTCATTTCATAAATTTTGATTCTCAATATATTTAACAATAATATTACTGATCATTTGAAAACATCTACTAGTGATTTTTTAAAACATTTCATCTGGAAAATTGGTTTGTTAATACAAGAATGAAGCTGTTTTGTTCTTTTCTTGGGTTTGAAAATTGTCACAAAGATTTTTCACAAGACGAAAGCAAAATTCATTCCTTACCCTGGCGAATCTTTTACTATTGATCATTTTCCACATCTAATCGTATTGTTTTGACAAGCACACTGTCGATTTTGCGGTTTTAAACAATTTAAGAATTGAAAAAAAGGATTTCAAATTTTTGGTATTGCAGCGGAAGGAGGCGACAGACAAAAGAGTGTCTTGCGATCAAAAGAACGTGACGCTTTGAAACGGAAAATCGAACAGCGTCCCTCCAAGCAAAAGCTTGTCACACAGCACATCTTACTCACTGGTGATTTTTCTATCTGATTAAAACATTGTAAGCTAAACAAAAATACAGTTGTTTATTTGAACTTGATCCAAGTATTCCATATTTTTCATTTATTTTATGCAATCTTCTTTATCGAAAACTTTCGATGATTGTTAAAATATAGAAAGTGACTCCTGTTGGGATTTGTCAATCCTAGATTTCATTTAAATGTATTTTTCTTATTAAATATTGTAAGTTTTAGATTTACGAGTTTTATTTCATTTTTCTTGTTTTATAGCTTATTAATTGTTAATCGTTTGTAAATACTTTGTAATAAGTAGGTAAATCTTTTTACGTTTTACTTTAAACATTTGAGAGAAAAGTACATGCAAAAATAGTTTCGATTTTGTTGTCTGTTTTTCGATTCTCATTGGATGGGAAAGACAAAACTGAAGATCTTCGACTTTTCTAAAACTTTTAATTTCACTTTTTTTTGAATTATATTTTGACAAACCGATGAAGAAAGTATGAATTTTTAGTTGGACTCCTTTCATTACTGAAAATATATTTTCAATTTTCTCATGAAATTTCATGTTCCCTTGCTTATTGTTTTTACGCTTTTAATGTAATCTAATCCCAAGTTAGGTTTGTAAATTCTCTCAGAACATTTCACATATATGCAATGGGAGCTGGTGTTTGTTGCAGCTTTATTCATCTTGCTGTATATTTTAATGAAAGAACTGCTTTTATGGAATTTTCTTTAGAGACTAGTAAAACGAAAGAACAATAATTTTTTAGGAAAAATAAAGATGTTATAGCAACTAAATGTTTACATATTATAGCGTCTAATGCGGATCCATCTATTCAGCAGAAGGCCGAAGAGTTGAAACGCTGTAAACTGAAAGACGATTTGAACAAAAAATTGCAGCATCGACCTGGTCCACTCGAACTAATAACGAAAAAAATTCTACAAGCTGATGCGGAGCTGGAGCAAGCAATACAAGGTTTTTTTTTTTGAACCGGTTTACTCTATATCAAACGATTGCACGGTTCAGAGCATAATTAAGACGCACAATTCCTTTCTGTGTTCAAGGGTTTGAAAATTTTAAAATTCATTGAAACTTGTGAAATAAGTCAAAGAAATATCAAAGAATTTTCGTGCCTTTGGCTTCGCTGCCAACCAAGAAAGGCAAATTTTTCATTGATTAATTTGAGTGTCTTCAAATTCTTCATTATTTTTAGAGGGCCGCTTATTGTTCACTAAAACTACCCAAACAAAAGGGAGTGAAAACGAAGGGAAGCAATCGGGTAATTTCATCAATTAATTTTTCCATAAATGAATTAAATAGTTTTTAACTGTTTGTCCAATTGTAGCGATGTAAATAGAAAAGGTACACTTATTGCACTGCTGTTTGGATTATATAGAGCTAGCTTATTAATAAAGAAAACGCAGCTTTAATTTGATTACATTTCACCAATTTATATTCGTTCATTGAGATATATTTTGTGGTTTATAAATAACAATAAATAGAGATGGAGGTAATATCCGCGACACCGGCATGTGCTTATCAAAGAAAACTACCAAATGTCTGTTTGGCGAAATCAAAAGTTCGTAAAAAAGGTTCACAATATCGGACACCATATGACCAAACATTACCATCACCGAATGCTCGATCGAAGTTAAAATTACAAGATTCTTCTGCTACAGATTATCAGGTCTGCCCATTATTGTATTGAGTAATTATTAGTGATGAAATTTATAACAAACTGGCGATATAAATGCAAATAAATGAGCGGTATTTTTACAGATAATATAAGTACTTTGAGGCGTTTTTAGATAGCTTAATTACGATGCGGTCTATCCGAACTGATCACGTGGAAGATTTCTTTCAAAAGAACGGATTATCTAAAAATCCGTGTTTGACGGAAATCAATTGTAAATTTTAACTTCCGTCATCTTATATTAGGGTGTATTACATCGTGAGAAACGATGGCGTCATTTCTTAATTTTTCTTTTAATCGATTGCCATTTGTTCAGGGTCCGGAAACTATAAATGATTCACTGGTGACTCATGGTGTCTCTTACGTTAGCGATAATGCGTCACTGTTAAATGTCGGTGAACAGGTACGTCAATTTTTTTGCAAATTTCTCACAAAAAAAATGTGGGTCGAGGTTTGGTCGAACTGAACCAAAAATAACTTATTCAGTTTATGTTGGACATTGAGGAACAAATTCACCTTAAACTCCATATTGGACTGATGTAGTTAATATGTAACAGTTAATATAAAGTGACGCAGAAATTTAATGGAGCTTTTTGCTAAATTAGATTTGAAAATGATGCTTTCGAATTTTCTTTATTTGGGTAATAATGAAGATATCGACCAGTTTTTCGGATTTCTTTGAAAAATGTTTATCATTGAAGCTACATTTAGCAGGAAGGGAACACTGATCGAAATGCACCTCCATTAGTAAATGTACTTGTCCTGAACAGGCCGATGTTTTTTTCTTTTGAAGAGTGAGAATACGCGTGAAATGCAAAGTAGCTACGATCTTTTACTTCAACAACAACAGTTGTTTTTACAATGGCAGCGTGAGGTTGAAGAGTCCCGAGCCCTCAGCACCTCACAGGTAACTAAAAAAATTTCACATTCTTTGACTTCTAAAATGTTTTGCAAGTTGAATAACTCTACATTAGTATGCTCATAACGCATGAAAAATGGATGTCAAATTTGAATGAAAACTGGGATTGTTAAACGCATTAAAGAAGTGATTTTCAGGAAGAAGAGGGACGACATTGTCCAGATGAATGTGTCACATCCAGTGCAACATCACCCTGTATGACAACATCTGCTCAAAGTTCGTTAGTTAGTTCGGATTATGTTCAGAATGGAGTGCAGTCGGTTATATCGGAACAAATGCAAGAAACTCAGCAGTGTTGTCAATGTTCAAGTGCTAATTTCAATTATTCAGGGATATCATCCGGAACCGTTAATTCTGTGAGTGATAGTGAAAAGCCAAGAACCCGTCTTGCAGACTATCGGGTGCAAGATCTCAAAAATGAATGCAAAAAACGTCAATTGCCCGTTTCCGGTGCAAAGCCGCAACTATTGGAGCGATTAAGACCATACGAGGAATCGATTTTGAATCACTACGGTGGAACTGTATTAACGGACCCATCATCCGATTTGATTTCCGTCTCGTCCCCAGCTCCTGATGTCGTAACACAGTCGAATCGGTTACCTCCCATCAGCAATGTCATTAGTGACTATGGTCACAAGCATTCTATTTCACCTTTGGTTCAGCAGACTCAGTCAGCGCAGCAGCACTCTCTTGTCGTACAATTGCCTCCAGCACAGCAACATCAGCACCAAATTTTGCATGTATTTTTTCCTATTACCTATTTCGGAAAAAATTTGATGTGATTACCTCTATCGCGATACGGAAATTGTGATAATCGGACAATGCCGGCGTATAGTAAGAAGTTTGCTGAAAGGCTTGACAAATTCAGATATTGATACTGCTACGTTTTAAAAATAATGCCAAGCATTTTAGTTGTCGGATTGATCAGTGGGAAAAGTTCGTAGGCTGGCAGTTATCGTAAGACTTTTGGTGGGTAATGCACGACCATACGTGTGTTACTGTTAGTAAACATGCGGGATTAAATGATCGCTAGCAATTCTTATTCATATTTTAATAAATCATTAATAACTGATGTATAAGAGCTGTTGTTTAATTAGTTGCCTTTGCGTAAGTGATCGGTCTCAAAGCATCAATTAACTCATTCTGTTTCAGCTTGTGGATGCCAATGGTGCAGTTGTTGCAACGGCAACTGTACCACACAGTGTGCAATGTTGTTGTATGTCATCGGAATATCCGCTCACTACTAACATCACCTTGAGCGGTTCTACAACCCAATCTACCGATGTTCGATCACAGCAGCAACTTCCAACTACTACAGAAGTGACACAAAATGTGGTGCAGCAAGTGCAAACAGAACCTACTTTTAGTTTTGCACAACTTGGTTCAGGTGGACAGGTATTTGTGTTTTGCGAGATTTTGAAAGTCATTAGTGAAATTACCGCAAAAAGGTTGTTGTTCCAGAAGCTCATTTTTATAAAAATTTTTAGGAAGTAGGAATGAGGAACTTGGGAAAGGTTTCTGTAACATTGAAATTTCTGGATACCATATTTCATTAAACATTTTTACATTTTTTTATTCTCAAGGCAGTTATTTTCAGTTTACGTTGGTACGAACATCTTCTGTTGAGCAGCTGCAGCAGCAGTCTCACGTTATGCATTCATCTCAGGCTGGACTTCATCATCAACAACAACAAACCCAGCTGATACAGGGCATCATGCCAGAGAATCCAGTTCTCAGTTGTCATTTGTCTCGATCTACCACTTCACCGGATCAGCCTCAAACAGGAGGATCACATCAAATGACTGGAACACCATCACGTATCACTCAGCAACAGCAGAGACAGATTCAGCATGCCGGAACTGGAACAGCTACGTGTCCTGCTGTGAAACAACAAAACTGTCATAGCCAATTCCTTATATGTAATAACGTTACACGACATAATTTAAAGGTAACTGCTATTTGTGGGAAGTTAATGTTGCTGGCGTTGATTTGTAAATGGTGTTTATGGATGTTGTATTACAAAATGCTACATTACCCGAATGCTTTCATTATGATATGAAATTGGCAGCAAATGGTTAATATCCGAGCAAACTGGAAATATCTCCCGATAATTTCAATAATTTATTTCTTCATTTTAGTAAATGAACGTTGGAAGTAGTCTACCACTGGTTTTCTCATTGATCGCAACTGGTTTCGTTGAATGTAGCGCATCATAAGCTTTTTTTAATTCATTTTTATAGAGTAGAATAAAACAAATGTAAAACCTTTAAGGAAATATTTTGGAAAATTTTAGGGAAGGTAGTCAAGAAATCTTTGCATGTTAGAATTTTATAGCTGTCATTACTTTATGGATCTGCTGTTTTGAGAAGAGGTATATACCAGAAAAAAAAAAAAACATCAATACATTTGGTTCGTTGAAATTACTACGATTCCCACTGCTTTTATTGCGAACTGAGAGAGAAAGTATTTTTTGAAAGAAATATTTTGAATGATATACTAAGCAAAAAGCCATAAATATTGTTGGATAAAGTTGTACTGGAAGACTTGTTTTGACCTGTTTGAAAGCTATAATTTGGATGAAAAAATTGTTCTCGTAAAAAGTAGTTTAGGGACGGTTGAATAACTTGCCTAACAGGTGTGTCTGTAATTGATCATTAACATTAGTCAATGTTTTTGAACAGTTGGCAATTCGCATCCAAAAGTGTAAAGGACATCTGCTGTTCTAAATATCGTCAAGGGAGAAGGATAGCTCCGGATATAACGGTTTAAATTGTTTGTTTAGTGTTGTTAGTCTATTACACTTCCATAAATTCAGTGGCATAGTTCTAATTATAGCTGTGGCACTATATTCCTTATGCATGTTACTGGAATACGGAAATGTCTGATTGAATGTGAAAAACAAAAAGTGGTATTTAGGATGGAACAGCAGTATCACAAAATGCACTCTGTCCACCGTTGCAATCTGCGCTACCACACTGTTCTCCCATTATGGCGGATTCGGCAAGTGGTAGTTCACCGGATATTCCGTCGCCACCGAATAATGCTGAAAAAGTAGCCGCGAGGAAGTATCCTGCACATATTGACCCAAGTGACACGAACGCCTTGTAAGCTTCTTTATTTTTTGGTTTTTGTAATTCACTCCAATCGAAAATGATTTTATTCAGTCCGAAAGGTGCTTTTCTCTTACTTTTTTTGAATTGTTTACCGGATTATTTGAGTGTATTTTAACAAACATATTTAACAGGGATGTAACTTCTTTAGATTTATTCCATCCAATCTGAGATGGAGATATTTTAGATCATGATGAAAATCTTGTTTGATATAATTTTCTGAAAGAAAAAAAGTTTTACAGGCTGTCTGCAACGACACTGTCCATTCATGAAGAAATGTTGCGATTTCAGCAACGAAAAATTGAAGAATTGCAGAAGGAGTTGCATCGATCGCAGCAGCAGCTAAAACATCAGCAGCAAGTAATCCTTGCTGCTAAGAAAGCCCAGGTTTCTGTTTAAAAATTTTGTCTCTATATGTGATGTAAAGAATCATGATTTTTAAATAGGTGTAGAAATGACCATAAAAAAGCTGACATCGTTATGTATCATCTGAATCTTTAGATTTGAAAGATCGGAGAAAAGACTGTGATATGTTCATAAATTAAACTTTAATTGGGATATTTCGAATTCTTACTGCATTATTAGCCGTATGAAGCGAATAGTTATATGAATAAAATATGTTATATGAATAAAATTTATTAAAAGTAGTATTGCTCCCTTAATCTGTCTTTTATATCATTTTTATTAATTAATGAATATCGCAAGTAATATTTTTAGCAAGCGAAAAGACAGGAAGACGGTCACTTGGAAGGTAATCAGCAACAATCTGAAGCTGATCTGTGGCTTAATCAACTGGATATCAAACACTTGAATAAATTTCATATACAACTTTTCTTGCAGCATAAACTTCAGCTGCAGCAGATGCAAGTTAGTTTTCCTCCTGGCTTCTTTTTCAGACTAGACTTTTGGAAATATTTCCGACGGAATGTTTTTATGTCGAAGACTTTCTTGGATTGAACTTTTTTCATTAAATTTGGAAATCAAACTCGTTATGAAATCAAATTTCTCATTTAATTCTCAAAATAGTGTACATTTTTTTCGTCACTTTCATTTTCATTGCTCCTTCTCAGCTGAAGATGAAGTTAATGTACCAGTTCCGGTATATTATATGTTGGTTGTTTTAAGGCTCAAATAACAGAACAACAAAATTTGGCTTCAACGGAAGAGAAACTGCAAGAAGAACTCCATGTTGAACAAGCAGTTCAAGATATCGTACGTTTGATCAAGCAGGATGCTCGTACTGCACTTCTTATTGTCCAGTTACTGAGACGTTATCAGCTTGAAAGAAGTCATGTGTGTTTCATTATATTGTCATTTTTAATAGTTTCTTTTATGGCAACTTACAGTAATATCCTTCACGCCGGGCTCTGGTAAACAATGGAATCATCGTCTTCCTTTTTCTTTCAGCAACGCCATTCACCTTTCATTTGCTTCATTTCTCTCATAGTTTTGAATGATAAAATAATGTTCTTGAATCACAGTGTGCGTTATTATGTTCGTTTCATATTTGTGATTTTTTTTGTTTTGAAATGTTAGAATTTAGGTATTTTCAGGCTGTACCTGCAGCGGCGCAAGTTGAGGATCAGAGTTGTGAAACGGAAGTACAGAACAGTGTCAAGGTAGATTCGAATACCCTTGAACCAATAACAGTCGTTAGTTCAGAGCATCAATGCGTTTCATTAGCGGATATAACGATGGAATCAATTCAAAATACACCGCAACAGAAAGCCGGTGTCATTATTATCAGTGAAGATGAACTACAACGATATGTACCTACAAGCACTCATCCGAAACCTAAAAGTCGGAAGAAGAATAATGTTATCAGGCAAGTATTGCAATATGATTTGCTCTTGTGGTTAGCAATCGATACTCTGTTTTTGATAACTGTTTTTTGTTCTTGTTTCAGAGCGAAGGCTGATAATGCGGATTCGCAGGAAAAAATACCCGGTAGTGTGGATATGGAGGAAATTTTCAAACAGGTACTGGAGAATGCCTCCAAAGCTTTAATGGAAAGTGATGCCGAAAAGCGGTCAAAAACAAATTTGATATCTTCACCGTCTTGTTTTCCTGAAGAATTTCAAATTCAGAAAGCAACATCTAGCCCTCTTCGGCAACATGAAAGTGACAGTTGTCGGATTGAAGACAGTAGCGGCAGAAATTCTACCGCTTTGCCAAGTTGTGACCAGCTAATACAACCTTACGTAAGATTACTTACCTTAATAGCATAATTCTCCTCTAATATTTTTTCAAGTTCGCCAAAAATTTTACTTTTTTCTATTCAATTTGTTTAAATTATCATTAATAGATGCTAAGGTGATGGATAAAAAAAGTTGCATAAAAAACAGATAAAGCAAGATTATCCAGTGGATTGATTAAAATATGGAGCAGTGATTACATGTTAGCCTCCAATCTATTCTTCTGTTGGAAAATTGTACTAATATGAGCGAGTTTTTTTTCTTTTTGATTATTTTTCAGACCAAAGCGCCACCAGCTTCGACACTTTACAGCACGAAACAGAGGATGGAAACTGATGTGACGGATATTCGTTTTAAAGATCGTGTTGAAATATTCGAAGAAGGAACTGTTGGTGCGCTGCAAACTTTCCAGTATTCGAAAAACCAGGCCTTCGATGACCTAATGGATGTTCTGCGTGATGACCAAGGTTTCACCTAATTATTTGTTTTAATTTTCTCAATGCTGGATGAAGTTGGAAGTTAATCTTTTCAATTTAAAAGTATTGGTGTTGTTTGTAATTTGTGAGTTGATTCTTTTTAGCAGGAGTTAATGGTTTGAAGTCAAATAATCTCGATTTTGGTACAGGAACAGCTTATGAATCAGATGAGCTGACAACATTGCTAGGTGATGATTGGTTCCAGCAAGATTGTGCAATACCAGCAATGCCGGTTTGTTCACATGTTACCCAGCGGTACACAATTAGCAGTGTGATTTTTTTATTCTTTTTGTTAGACTTCAGTCTTAAATGTAAGTTGATACATACCTTCTAATTTTCATTTTTTTTTTTGCAAAAAATAATGGTGGATCACTTTCCAATTAAAAAATTTTGTTTCAGCCAGGTGTTCTTAATGAAAAAACGGATAACCTAGATGAGCGGACATCAAGCCAGAATGATCCATTAATAAGTTCTTTTGATAACCAAGCTGTAGATCAGGTTTGTGGTATTCGGATTTCTTTCATGACATTGTGGGTACTTTTGTAAAGATATATTTGTCATCTATTGCTTCATTTGAGCAGTTGTCTAATGTGTCAAACTATAGTTTCAGAATATTGGTATGGATTGGCTGGATATGATGTTACCTTCACCATCTTCGGATATGGATACCAGTGGGGTCGATTCGATCCAGTGAAGTGTTAACTTCCAAAGAAAGGTGGTCCTCATATCTTCTTCCAGTTTATCTCGCAAAACCGGTTCGATTCTTGCCGTAGCTTTACATTCAACAAATTGCTCATTCCGTTTGGTGCTTTTTAAAATTTTTGTGTTATATAATATATATGACATGTTCATCTTTGTTCATCTTTCATCTTTATTCATCTATATGACATCTTTATTCCATTAGCTAGTCGTTTCCGCCTTGTAAACCGGTCCTAAGACATTCAGACTGTCAAATGTTGACGTACTTCACTTTTATTTAATTGATGCAGTATCGTCGACTATGGGGTTTCAAAATCTTATGTGGTGTCCCATAATTACAGAGGATAATTAAAATCGTTACATTCGTTTCCACAAATGATTCAGAAATGCTTACGTTAACTGTTATAGTGGGCATGTTTGTTTGCAGTGGTTTTGTTAGTTTTTTAAACATTCGGTATCATATATGATTACATACGATTACGCGAAATATGTATTTATATGTATTGGGGAACATACCATAGCAAGCAGTTAGAGATTTTTATTAATCTTGTTTTTAATGCTTCAACGCAATTAAACCTCGAGGAAAACCGTAGGAATATGACGAGGTGGAGCCGCAACATTGCAAATGAATATGTGTGAGTTTGTCGAGCAGTTATTTAAATCGTTTATTTGCTTAAAAATGTGGTAGATGGACTTCAGTGATATGTATGGATAAGATATGTAGATTAGAACGTATCTTCGGATGGTAGCTTCGGGATTGTTCTTTTTGTAAGTTTCTGCCTTCAAAGCCGGTGGTTCTCATTATATATTGTAATTATTGCATGCATTACTACTGCTGTGGCGGGGCATTTCTATCTTGTGATTTGTATCACCTGTTTTTTACTGCTCTGTTTGCTGTGCCAAAGATTTTTTTTAATATAGCGTTGTCCGTAGTATCGTTTTCTTCTCTTTCGTGTTCTTCAGAAATGTTTAATTTTCTTCTATTCCATCTTATCTCAGTTATGTTATGAATGATACAGACTCCCGCTTATTAATGGTGTTTTGATTCAAATTTTCTTGCAGCTAAAAACTAATTTCACAACTTCGCATATAACTGGAGTTTCTAAAGAGATTGGAATTAGTTAAAATTAATTCAAATTGTGGAATGGAGGGGTATTGTGTTTTAACCGTTGAATTTTTAAGTGAAATTATTATTACTAGTCATTTGCTTGTGCTAACAGTACTAATAGGCTTGAATTTGTTCATTTCCTTATTTTCTTTTTATTCTTTTTAATCTTTTAAAGCTGCATTTATCCGAACAGCTGCATTACTTACTACATCATCAACAGAATTGCCTTGTATTTTTTTTCTTTATTAAATGTTCTTTCATGAGTGATTTCGTTTGTCTAGTTTGACTTTACTAGTAACTGTGCCAACTATTTAAAAACTGTGCAGGTTCAGTTTAGATTTATCTACAAGTTTTAATTATTTGTCTTTTATATTTAATGTAAATGTATGCATTTGCTAGTGTTTTTTGTACTTTTTAAAATGAACTGAGGTGAGCGCATACCGTGGGATCATGCGTAGCGCAAACAAGCTCCATTATTTTCATTTGATTAGTGACACCGTATTTGAGGGTTATGTGGTGTCTTAATATATTCGTACAGTATTGTATGTTATATCTTTTTTGAATGTAATAAGCGAAATGGTGTGATTTAAAGTGAATTATAGATGTGATATATTTAGGTTATGGGCGATCTTATCGGAAAGCATGTTCCTGATGTTCCATACGTTGTTGTTTTCAAGTTTGACAAATCTTGAAGAAATTTTTAGTTTTACTGAATTTTATTGTCGGCTTTAGGAAAAACATTCATGATAACTGGTTAAAATTTTGTGTTAAAACATGGTAGACGTTAACATCCCTCTGTCCAGTCTTCTCATTGCTTTCCTTATTCCATAGAATGCTTATCCGTCGTAGATCTCCCATAAGCTTCCGATAATGAGATTAGCTCCTAGTATCAGGAATTTAGTTCATCCAATAATTTTTCTCCATTCGTTTTGTTTAATTTTGCATTCCCCGACGTATATGTTTTGATGTATATAGAAAGTCTAGTGTTCATGATTATAATCCAATTTGCCATGGTTTTGATTACTAGACTTATGGGTGTTACTCTTAATCGTGATAACATGAGCCCAATTTTCGTATGTCCATGTGGTATGTTATTTATTTACCAAATATCAGGTAAAATAGTGGAAAGACCCATAGGGCTTTTGTTAAGGGAGAAACATCCTTGCTATATATAGTTACATATTCCTGTGCAACTGCAGTAACCGGCATAACTGAGCTTCTGAGAATATATACCCGGTTATCATGCTCAGGCCTGTTATTTATTATATATTGTGTAAGATTTCATTCCTTATTAATTGCTTTTTTTGAATAATATAATTTCCGGACAAATTTCATTCTACCCGACAATTAAATCTTTGAATGATGACCGGAACCGGTGTTTTTTTATTCAGTGCGTCCTTGTGTTCAGCTTACATCAAACGACCAGGGTACCGACAACTTTGGGATATATTTCTAATTCTTGCAACGAACGCCTACTCTGCCCTTGTAAGCTGGATTTTTCCTGTGATCCGACAATGACACAGAGTAAGATGTAAAAGAAAGGAAAGTCTTATAGTTTGTTGAATTTCTTTTGGCAGGGGCATAAATGGAGTTTCAGCGAATCTCGTAATTGTTGAATTTAATCTGAGAATGAACGCGTGTTGTCAATGACAATTACGCACATTTGAAGGAAAGGCATTTAATTGAAAGGCTTCAAATCAAATTTGGTTCGCGATAAATGCATGACTTACCTGGCCATCATTATTCCGCTATTTCAAAAATGTCAGTAGTTAAATTGATATAGTTTTGGGGAGAAACACCATTGTTCCGGAAATGTCAACAGGGAATTGTTCGTCGATAAAATTTTTGGGAACAAATGGAGGAGGTCAAGTCAAGTTTAAATTGGCTGAATGGTCTGATCCAGTTAGCATATTTAGTAAGGGCCTGATGCAGAAAGACTACAGCGGTCGATTGGATAAGTTGGAGAGAAAAATTCCGAATTCTCCATTTCTATCCTCTAGATCTTCCATCATATTGTAAGGAAGCTGAGAAAGTGAGCACGCAGGATACCATCGCGAATCGTTCATTGGAAAGTGGTGAAGAATTTATGCATTAATTGCTTCCTTGAAGGGATGAAGGATGGGGTAAGTTAGCCAGTCTGTTTCACTTTGGATGACTTTATGGAACTGTGCGAACGGATTGGACCCTCCTCCATTTGAGAAACATTCCAGTGTAGATATATATAGGGTTGTAGCGGAGCCGCATGCCGCAGTTAGTGAGTTGTGGCATCTACCAGTTACGTTCTTTTGGGAAGCATTTCATACATTTCATACATTATCTTTGTAAACTCCTCAAAGTAAATGATTAGGTACCTATGCGATACATATAAATGTATTTTTTTTTAACTAGTAGGTTACTGTGCATTCATTTAAGTATATCTGCAAGACGAAAGGACATGGACTAAAAATGCGATATATCCGTATGTACATCACATGGAGTCGTGGGAACATCTAGATAAGTGTCTACTTGACTCAATATTCTTGCATAGATCATCGACGATTCCAATTGCATAGCTGATTTTATACGTCGAACACGCGACCGGATCTTCTTAGTTCCTTAAACTTCCCAAGGTACCGACAATTTATAATCTTCGCCGCATTTCGAATAGGAGTACAGAATTGCTACTGTGACTGTGTTCGTTTTCTATTTTCCTGTATTTGGGCCTTCATACATGCATGAATGTATGTGTGCATGCACTGAATGTGTATATTTGTGTGTACGCTCGCGTATGCGTATGTTTGCATTCTCATAAATGCATGTGCATTTGTATGTGTGGATGCGCGCCCACATGTACCTGTTTATATGCATGTCCTGGTTAGTGTATATGCTTGTTTAATGGATAAGCGGCTAATGTATATGCTTTTGCGAGTATGCATGTGAGTGTGGGTTGCGTGTGTGTGTGTGTATGTTTGTATGTCTGTATGTCTGTATGCAAATGGGTGCATGTGCGTGTGTGGGTAGGTGTGTGTATAATTTCAGTATAGGGCCACTTTAGAATTGTGAGCAGTAATCATACTGAGGAAAAAACGACGCGGGCTGTAATCGACAATAGTGCGGGCAGGCATATACACATGCACAGACGTACACACATGCATGCATGCATAGAGGCATACAAAGGGATCTGAACAGGGTGGGCCGTAGAGACGATTGTGCAGGTTGCGCAGGCAAGGCACTGCACGCGCCCTTTGCTGCCCAAGTGATGCTGGTGTTGCTGCTGCAGTGTGAGTGCATGTAGCAGCGGCAGTAGCAGTCTAGCAATTTGCTTCGGCCATCGATTTGCGCTTGATGGAATCGAGAAGTGCAGCGCAATGGGATGGATGAGGACTGCATGCAGGAATACAGCTACAGAGTAGAGTAGGGGGACAGAATGTTACCCCCCCCCCCCTTCCCCCACAAATAGAGGTGAGAGCAACCCGCATCCATCCGCATTCCCCATCCTTTTCTCCTGCTCTTTCCTTTCAAACAAACGTACGCACGCAGGCAGGCAGGCAAGCAGGCAATAACACGCTACTGCAATACAACAATAACATACTGCACTGTTGTTATCCTCACACAGAACGACAGGATACGATACGATAGGATACCTGTAGATGGCAGCATTGCAATCTTCTGCTGGTCATCAGAAACCCCTAACCACCGCTAACGATATCCTCGGATTACCGAATTTTGCTATTGTACGAATCCCCGAAGGTGGCGATATCATCAAACTTTTCAGTTTACTGGTAATTTTTTAACAATTTTGTGAAAAATTTTAAGTTGATTTTTTGGTAACACGAAAAAGAAGCAAAACATATTCTGCCTTTCCTTGCCTTCGTTACATTTCGCATTCATTCTAACACATCTTCAGAATTTTCTAGACTATCTCCTCCTTCCTTTTGTTGAATTTTGTTTCTTTCGGATCGGATGTTTTCATATCCCTTTCCATCCTGAATTTGCGAAAATTTCTGTTTTAATTCCAACCTGCGCTTTTTTATTTGAGATTTTCCCATTGCGTGAGTGCGCGAGGAAACTTTTTGCCTTATCTTTTCATTATTCCTATCTTTTATCAATCTTTTCATTAATTCTATCTTTTATCATTTCTATTCTAAAATCACTACTTTATTCAATCCAGAAGTCGCTGATTACGGAGCGAAGTCGAAATTCGATATTCCAATTTGTTAGAAATTTATTCAACTTCCGATTATGGGTAATTCTCCTTCTTTGGATTTGGACTTGTGAGAGTATTTTCATGAATTTTACAGACGTTGACGGATGCAGAGTGAGAATGGGAATCATTCACTGCTTTGAGGGAAATGTGGCTTAGGAATTTTGGAACTCTTGTTCAGCTCGCTCTTATGTGGCGTTGTATTTCGAGAGAATTGAATGTTGGAAGAGAAAAGGGGGAAGAAGAAAGTTTTCCATACTTCTAAATGACAGTTTCATAGTCCTGCAAGTATGAAAGTATCAAGTATGAAGTATGCAGGAATGGACTGTCGTCAGCGTACAAGCTACCAAATAACCTCGTCTTTTTGATTATCTGGACTGTGCCGCTATTCGTTATACTGAAAAAGATGTTGATTTCCCTTACCTGAAATACCCTTGTTTCCAACAAATACCTTTGTTTTAAATTGTCGATGTATTTTAAAAATTTGATAATCGTTTTGTTGATGTTACCGACGTCTAAATCGAATTAGATTTTTATTACTGAATCAAATAATTTAAACATCAAGTCGAACCCAGTTCAGTTTTATAGGTTAAATAAGTTAAATGCTCACTTTCCTTATTTATGAGTTAATTACTTTTCTAGTTAAACAATGGTTTCCCGGAAGTGTCATTCGTAAATGAGATTCGTGAAAATGCATTTCTCCCAGTGCTTAATACAACAACGGCTCCTGTCTCCGAGCTTACACATTTTTCTAACCCCGTCGCCGTACAGGATTCAGTGATATCTTCGGATGACAACAGTTCCCAGTTGCTTATTATCGATGATCATACCACTCACCCGTCTCCGGCACCATCCAGTTCTAATTCCACCCACGGTTTGGCCACCTCAACTGCCATACCATCACCCATACCGTTCATTGCTCGACCACGTGGATCACGAGCGATCGCTAACGATGACCCATCATTGTATGCTATTTGTCAGCTGTGTCAAAACAAAATAATGTCCAGTCGTCTATCAAATTTGACCAATCATGTCCGTCGCCATGCATCGCTCAAGCAGTTTCAATGTGTCTATTGCATTTACACTCATAACGAAATGGCCAAAGTTAGTTCCACTTTTTTTCTTCTCCAGTGTTAGTTTCCTTCGTATCATATTTTAAATATGGAGCAGAAATTGAGAATGCAAATTATCCCATGTGTTGGATGTGAACATTTTCGACAACAGTAAGCACACTGATAAAGATATTTGTGACATTATTGGAAAAGGAAGTATTAAATGCAGATAATTTGTAGGTGCGCTTGCACATGCAGCATAATCATAAGGATCACGTCAGTCAACCGTTGGATGCACTTACGCCGGAAATGCAGAACCAATGGGATTTGTTGATGGACCAGTGTTTCCCGGGTTATTCCAAGGTGTTCCTTCGTGTTGCAAGAAGTGAAATGTTTCATTTTATTTAGAAAGATTATGCTGCATGTGGCAAATTCTCGTCTTAAATTTACAATAACTGTCTTTTGGTTATGCAGTTCCATCCAACAGAATGAAACTATCCTTTTCTCCAGTTTTCAACATTCAAAATCGAAGAAAGTGATCATTCGGCTGATTTAATATTAGCGGATCCGAATGATTTGTCGTATGCTTGTATCGAATGTGGTGAACGGGTCAATGCTGAAGCACTTATCGAACATCTTGATAAAGTACATCGAATAGAATGCATACCCTACTGCTGCGAGGAATGTGGCTACCAGAATGCTGATCAGGTAGAAGTTTTAGTTTATCTTCTTATTAAAGCCGGAATAAGCCCCGTATTTCATATAAGCAAAATGTAATATAGTCGTTGAATAGTGTCTTTCATTTTTTTACCCTGATAAACATACGAATTTTCTTTTTTCCTCCTCAGATCATAACAAGTTTTTTTTGCAAACTTTTTTCTAAATACTGAAGCGCATTACTCCTTGTTTTAATCATTTTGTTTTCAAGTGGAAAGTACGTCTCCATATTACGTTAAAACATTCGGAGATTGCGGCCGATGTAAACGTTGAAGTGTTGGAGCCCGGTAGCAATCTTGTCATGTTCCTTCATAAATATTTCCCGGATACACCAGGTATACGTCGTATTCGAGGTTCTCCTGAATTACCTAATATCTAAGTTTCATTTGGTTACTGCTTGGATTTTAATGTTTTAAACGACAATTAGCGCATAGATCCGAGATTTGTAATTGCAGCCGATGAGGAGGAAAGCAAAATGTTAACACAGTTTCAAAGTTTGGCACCGAAAGAAGAACGAAATAGTACGTCACCCTTAAGTTTTAATGGATATGCGACGTCCATAAATGATGCTGGAAACCACGTTCGATGTGAGGTATGGATTTTTTCATTAAACTTAGGACCTACTAATTTCCCTTTTTGTTACTTTCTATAAGAGGAATTTCGCGTTACCCTCTTTGAATGAGATGTTTAGACTTTTCCTTCAAGAAGAACCGAGAAAAGTTAACACTACTTCCAGTTGTTAAATCTGTTATAGCTTTGTCAAAAAACGATGCCAAATTACCGGTCACTTTCTTCACTGATGAATCATGCTAAGCGACATTATCATCTGAAACAATATCAGTGCTCGGAGTGTCCATATACCAGTAGTGAAGCAGCACATGTTCGTACTCACATGGCGCTTAAGCATCCTCACGTCGGTGCGAAACCTATCGATAACAAGTGAGCTAAAAAGTTTCTTACGTCAGAACAACTTAGTTAAATAAATAACCACCTTTATGTTCGAAAATGGCAAGCTTAATTGGCAACATGGAAGATCTAATAACTGAAGAAATGGGGTGCGAACCCATCACATCACGAAAGAATGTTTTTAGAATGCGTTCAAGGTTTTTCAAGGTTTCATCCCCTAGTTGCCCGTTCTAGAGTGACATACAATTCATTTCAGTTGTGAAATGTTGCAAAATGCTTGGATTGATGTAATGCGTAAATGTTTTCCTGGATTAATTTCAAAAATTGATCAGTTCCGATTCAAACACTCTAGGAGTGAAGATGGCAACAAAGATGAAAATCCAGCTGATGAAGAGATCTTTATGCATAACAAAAGGAATTCTTTTAAGGCAGGGCCATTTATTGTTTATAAAAAAATATATCAGTTCCAAGAGTTAAACAGCGCCTTCCTCACATTTTTATTTGTGGACGATGTCCATGGACTACATACAAGTGAGAAAGTTGTACTGCATCGCTATTTATAAATCTGACCTTTTTTTCTTTTCAGAACCATATTGCAACATCTCCGCAACGTAAAGTACAGAAACTACAAAAAGGGAAAGTCAGTGGAGCCAGCGAATCATAAACCTGTTCTAGAAGCAATAGTTGTTGGAACCGGTGATAAAGTTCGAGTAGTGTTGAAATACTCTGTATATTGTTTCATTTTGTTTTGGGAAAGGAGTTTTTGTACAAATTTAATTGAATTACAGAGCAAACGCTACATTGTACTTCACAACTTACAGGGTAAGCAATGAAAGTACATCTTCACAGAGCGAAAATCTGCTTAGAAATCATGATTTTTCATCGTTCCTAAATACAGTTGATAGCAAACAATTAATAAAACCATGGCATATGCATATCAGAATATTAATTCTTCCGTTAACAACAGCAACTACGATACAACAGTCCCCAATTCACCTATGGTAGAGTAAATAAATTTAAAATCTAATCTAATGAGGTTATCTTCGATTTACCGAGACAAAAGATATTGCTCATATTGTACTGAATCAAAGTGAAAATTCCCAAACTATCCTTCCGCTTTTGAGCTTGCACTTTCCTGTCACTCATTTGGTACTTTGCACTTCGAGTCCCAAAGTGTACAGACAGCGTTTCCTAGACTGCACCAGATTGTTTCCGAAAATACAGACTAAACATAACCATACCGCGTAGCCATTTCACAAAAGAAAAATGCAGTGGGTAATGAAAAAAAACAGTCCAGAGACTGTACGGTGCCAATAAATAACTGAGAAACAATTCACCTTAGCATTACCACGGACCAAACATTGTTGCTTTGCTTTGCCTCTTCTTTTCTTCTTTTAGGAATTCTGGGTCATCTTTAGCTTTCTTATAGAACTGCCAGTCAAACGATAATGGTTTGTCACCCTCAATGCTTGGTTTGCTGTGATGAACAACATTTGGCATTTCCATTTTGCTCTTGTCGCTGTGCCAGAAACCTTTCTTCCAGAAGGAATAGTCAAATTCACCGTTTGTGACTCTTCTTTTATGTTCCTGTAAATTGCATGAAGATTCATGAATGTAGTAGTGCGAAGTACTTCTACTTTTGACAATATATTTTATTTAAATGCTTTTTCTTCCTCTTTGTTCTCGGCCGGATTGCATATGTTTAAAACACTGAAAAACTTTTCGGAGCGCACACACGAACTCTATGGCATGTGTTAAGAAACATTAAAAGAGTAACGCAAAAATTAAGCATGTCAAAGACTAGTTAGTATTTACCTCATACGCTTCTGCGCGCGCTTTCATTATTTCTGGATGTCGTCTCTCCCAAATCATTCGATGTTTCTGCTTCATGTATGCATCTCGAACATCACCTTCTTGCCCAATTTCACCATACTTTATGAAGAAATTCAACTCGTTTTCCTCCACGTCATCAATCAACTGAAAATTTTCCTTCCTATCACTTATCAATTTAAGGAAGCAAACTCATTATTCATTACCAAAAGAATTCAAAAAATAGCCGAGACGAAGTGGAGCAGCTGATTTTAGAATTCATTAGATATCAAAATTAAGTGCATTTAGCTTGAAAGAAAATTACCTTTGCACATGGAACAAAATTCGGAGCATTGTAATCCATACATCTGGAAAGCCGCAGGCGCAGAATATCCAGGATGTTCTGATCGACTAATCTTAACTATTACTTTTCTGAAGGCATAAAAGCAAAGAAAAAAAGAGAAAATTAAAATAACGATACTATTTATCATCAAACATTTGTTTTGAGTGCTGATTGAATTTTGTGGAACGTAAGCCATGAAACTAACTTGTCAAGTCGGAACTGTGTATTGGCCTCATAAAAGCATGATAAATCATCCACAGCACAATCATCAATTCCCGGAACTCGATTCAACTTACGGTGATAGTATGGTGAACGGCATTTGTCATTCATCGGTTCTATGATCTTCTCTAAAATAGTACTTACAGTTGGAAGGCAAATAACAAAAGGATGATAAGCTAATCAGAGAAAATTTAAGTCTGTTATAATGATAGACTGTAAACAATATTTTTTTTCGACCGATGTCAAACATACCTCTGAACCATGTAACCGGCACATCCACCGCTTTATGCATATAATACAAAAGCCTGATGTAATAACTTCCCTCACTTTCGAGCTTCCGCAACTGAAAAGAAATAATGAAATAATGTAACTTGGAACTTATATTCCGGGAGCAACAACAGCGCCATAATTACTCATATTTTCAGTATTATGAAAGCGTAATTTCTGGTGCTCTGGACTGGAATCTACTCTATTATTCAAAACCAGTCCTATATTTCCGCATATCATTCTGGTCGCAATAAGTCTCAAAATGGAGTAAAACAACCTGCCAATATGCATTCCACGCTTTTCTGTCTTCCATTCGACGAAAAATGCGTGGTGATAACTTCTCCTGCTCTCCCACCATCGTATCATTCATACCTTTTGTCTCCAGCTATGAAATGACATAATATCAGTAATAAGAGGTCCATTTGATCCGACAATACGTGAAAATATTTGAAATAAAAAAGTCGCTAAATTCCTAGTGATATTTAATTGTGATCGCTTGTCTTGAAACAACACTAAGTGCAAAGGAAATAATCCTGAGACTTCCCAGCCCACATCCCACGTATCCCCACTACCGTCACGCTTAACCCTTACGAACTTCACGTAAACACTCTCTACCACATGTTCAAACCCCAATGCTACATAATCCTGACCGGATTCGGCATGAAAATAAGCGTCTCAACCATCCTGATGCTCTTCATACGTAATTTGATGTCGCTAGAAACCAGGTGTGATTTGTAACTTGTGAATTAATAGTTTCGCCGCAGAGTCTGTGACCGTCATTGAAAATGCCGAATTTCATCCCCTCCAACTCAATAGCTAACAAAATTGCATCATTTTAAAGAATTTTTTGTAAATTTTACCGAATTTTTGTACAGGCAGTGATCTTTGGCAATTAATTTTTCAGTATACTTTCTGGTGAAGGCTGACAACGTTTATCACATGATTTAGCTTCTGAAGTTTTTTATAACCAATACATACGCGCATTACCTAAAACAAGGTTTTATTACCTTAATTAGCAAAGCATATCGACTTCTTTTTTTTTACTGCACAGTTTATTACCCGGCTCAGTGATACAGCATTCATTCGATAAATGTAGCAGTTATTAATAGTGAATCGTTGTAGTTATCAGCTCGTTTCACCGATCTAACAAAACATGCAAATTTCCTCTGAGCATAGACCTGTTTAGCAATTATAACTTATGTTCATGATATAGTTTCTTTCTACATTGTTGATGAGTTTTGCCAAATTTATTAAAATCTACTTTGAATAAATTGTCAACTAAGAGAGATGGAGTGATTTGTCAATTGCCCTAGTGAATGGATCTGTTTTAGAAAGTGCTAAGCCCATGTTCAGACATTATGACTGGACATTCTCAACGAAAGGAGTTTAATGGCTTGATGATGGCATCATCGCTTCCGAATAATCGATATCCTTATTATTTGGTTCATGAAGTTTTGTTTTTTCAAGATAATATGTTGCACTAATTGTAATGATTTGCTATTGATAACTCAAAAAAAGAAACGTACGAAAACACCGAAATACATATATATATATATATATGTATTGATGACAAATTATATATCTTCATCTATTTTTTGGACATTCTGAAAAGTTTCCAAAAGCTGTTCAAATTTTTTTGGCAATATTTGAAATTGGCTGAATGATGAACATCTCTTGGATTCTTTTGTTCCATGTTTTGTCTGTGCAAACTCTTAGAATTAAAATCTTGCACAACGGTGCTCATTCCAAGGAACTATCGTTTTTCGACACAGTGCAAAACCTTCCTACTGCTTTATTTCAAAATCCCATAAATTTTTAGAAAAAAAGCTTTAAAAATATTGATTCATTATCGATTCAAGCAAGTGATAGACATTGCACGCATCTGCTAACGTTAACACAGCCTTCGACGCATCATTTAGCACTTGAATGTATTTAGCCGAGAGTGAATGTCGGAAGCCTCACTGATTAAACTAGACATAAGCTGCATCCCCTTTCTTCTACTTCATAATTTTTTTGAAAAAGTTTAGGTTCGCAAATATTTCAACTGCATTTTCAAGATCTCGACAATTTATACTTTCACTTCCTTCTCTTTCTCTCTGATAATCGACGGATGTTGATGTCAGGTAGAGCGTAGATTTCAGCTATGCTTCACTTCAAACTGCCATTCTGACATTAAGAGTGATGCACAGCGAAGTCTTTTAGGCTTTTCACCCTAATATTCTGTTTTCCCTCTTTTTGTGAACTAAAATACGATTGTGTTTGACTGGTTATGCACTCACTCACTCACTGTTTGATTTCAAAAATTTCTTTCATTATTGTTTTCATTCTGATTGATATATAATGCAGAACATACCTTTTTTTTATTATATCGTTTTGAAATATGTTTGCTTAGTTTTGAGCTGCCAATAATGCGGATCAAAAGTGAGATGATAAAATAAAAATTTTGCAAGTCCACTGCTGTGTGGCTTAAACCCGATAGATACTCGTATCACTATGTAGTGACTATGTAGTTTCTATGTCAACATTTCGGGAGTTCGGGACTTTTTTCTAATAATTAAATTTTTTTTGTAGCAGAAAATCACCATGTGCAAATTTCTCCCAGATATTCATTACGGAACTGTTTGAAAAGGTGAGACTTATAAAATGACTGAATTCCACTAACATTTCTAAAACTTCCTAAAACCAAAAAATGTAATAAAATTCATCTTCAATAGTAGTTTCCAATCTTTTTTGTATATCTGTGAGCGCAATAAAGAAATCAGTCAAATACTTTTGTGCATTATTCGTGAAATTAATAAATAACAACTGATTCATCCTTGTAAGTTATTCGCATTTCATTGCCTACATTATCTTGAAACGATAGAATTTAAAGCTCTGAAGATTAAACTAATACTGAAGCAATTAAAAAATTGGACCTTCGATATCTCGACGAGTGATCAGCAATAGTGCTATAGTGACAAGCAGAGTTATTTTGATAATAATTAATAATAATAACAGTTTCCATGTTTGATTATTTCAGATTACAATAATGCAATTGTCTTTGTGATGAATTGCTTCTTTAGATTAATTTGCTTTTTTTAATGTTAAACATTTATTTACCATCACGTCGGTCAGTCTGCTATTCATCTTTTATCGACAATAATAGGAGAAAAAGTATTGTAATTTCATTATGGAAACTGTAATTTGCAATAGCTGTAAAATTCTCTTCCATTTATTTTGATAACAGAGTAATACGTAAACTTTTTCTCTTTGCCAACATTTTAACCGCATTCTAAAAATGACTGCTAAAGAAATTACTTTGTGGAAGGAAGTCAAAAGCAGAATACTTGGGCAGGCAAGTACAAAGTACTTTTGACAGGTGTTCTATTCTGCTTTATTTTTCTCTTCCCAGTTTTTTTTTGTCTCAATTCATGACATCATTAGCGATCTTTATTGGAAAGAGTTGGATTTCAAACAAAACTTGCTTTTGAGTTAACAAATTAGTATGAGAGTGTTTATCGCATCTTCAAATTTCTTGTTATGGCGCATTATTACTGTGCAGTAATTTTGTTTCCTCGTGTAAAAATATTTTGACTGACTTGTAAGGATTGATTCAACGACTTTGGCAACAAGAAGGTTTTGGTGTATGAAAATGCAGGTTTCTGCGATGTTTTGCAGTTATAGTTGTGGAACTAAATGCTGCTTGTATTCATTAGGAAATATCTCAGGTTGTGTATTTTAAGATTGAAACTGCTTAACTGGATTCTGGGAACTATTATATCTCTACTGATGCACACACTTCGAAATGCCCAAAACTGAAAATTTTATAGAAGTCGTATCGAAATCCAAGAAATCCATGTCAGAGCACATCATATGGCCAAATATCACATAGGGTTGCTCACTACATCACGTGATTAATTAGGGTCATCGACAAGTCTCATTTTGTAGAAAAACGCATTTTGGTTGCAAACCAAACTTTGGATTTCCAAATTCAGAATGCTCTAAACTACTGCCACTTCTTGCAGAATATGGAAACACAACCGGAAAAGGAATCTGCTGCTGCAATCCCGATTCCACAACCTGCTGTTTTGCCTGTCACACAACCAAAAGCAGTTCTGGATGTGGGATTTGCGAAGCCACCTGAAGTAAATGTAGCACTCGACCCGAACAATACTGCAAATGACGATGGAAATGACAAACTGGGTCCTCTAAAGGAAATATCCGACCGTGGAAGACATTTCTCGAAAATTCGATCAGATTCCATAATACCAACTGAAGGACACGAGGGCATCCTAATTGCCCCAAACCTTTACAAAGGACAAGCAGTTGCTGTCTACACGAGTGGTGGTGATGCTTCTGGTTTGTTACACCTTAATAAAACTGTTATCTGTTATAATATTTAATCGTTCTTTCTGCTAAAAGCATTTATTTGTATGCAAAGTGACCTGATATTGCGCAAATTACTAGATATGAAAATTATAAACCGATATTGCGCAAATTACTAGATATGAAAATTAAAAAGAAATTCAGGTATGAATAGTGCAGTGCGATCAGTTGTTCGAATGGGCCTGTATCTCGGTTGCCGAGTATATTTTATTTATGAAGGTTACCAGGGTATGGTGGATGGTGGTGAATATATCAAGGAAGCTGAATGGGATTCCGTATCAGACATCATCCAAAGAGGCGGTTTGTTGAACATCGAAAAAATCTGTAGTTTGTTTTACGGTTTCGGTCATGAAATCATCCTCATTCATCATAAATGCATCTTTCACTTTTTTGAGGTACTATAATTGGTTCGGCTCGTTGCAAAGATTTTCGCGAACGCTCAGGTCGGCTTCGTGCTGCCGAAAATCTTATCAAAAAGCAAATTACTAATTTAGTGTGCATTGGAGGTATCATTCCACTTTTGAATCAGTCACATTACCATCAAAATCTTGCCTTCACGTTCAATTTCGATCATAAAACTCTACTGTTGATTAGTAACAGAAATTAGACCGAAATTGAATAGATTCATTTTGCAAGAGGTGAAGTTAATATGCAGGTGATGGTTCGCTGACAGGTGCAAATTTATTCCGACAAGAATGGCCAAGTTTGATTCAGGAATTGTTAGTATCTGGAACAATTAGTCAGCAAGAAATCGAATCCTGCAAAAATATTCAGGTAAGCTTGCAGACTTTTTTTGTAATCGTGTTAATTGATAGTACCTCGATTGCAAGACGCGCATATAATCATAGCCCACTTCAATAGAACAGTAACAAGGATTTTCAATCCTACTTTTTTCTACTGGGTGATCTCTTTATCCACTTCTTTTAGAAAGTCATCGTTTGTTTGGAAAGAAGAAAAAGAGTGAAGTCAAATTTTGGAAAATCCACTTTTGTTGTTGCTTGGTCGTTATTTATCCAAATTTTTTCTTCCTTAGATCGTGGGTCTTGTGGGTTCCATTGATAATGATTTCTGTGGCACTGATATGACGATCGGTACCGATACTGCGCTTCAACGAATCATTGATGCTGTCGACTCTGTAGTGTCAACTGCGCACAGCCACCAACGTACTTTCGTCATTGAGGTGATAAATTGTTCCTTACGTAAATTGTAGGAATAAGTCAAAAGTAAAATCAAGGTATAAGTTATGCTGTTTTTTAATTTGGTCTTAGTCTGCTGCAATATATATTGTTTAACTAACCTTATGATTCTTACTTACTTCTTATCATGTATTCTCTGCTAATGAAGATATTTATAACTTTTGCTAACTTTCTTACCTTAAAAAATTTATCTGTTCTAAACAACGAGGCATAAAATGTTTAAAGGTGATGGGCCGACACTGCGGTTATCTGGCACTTGTAGCTGCCTTAGCATCTGAAGCGGATTTCTGCTTTATTCCTGAATGGCCGGTACCAGTGGATTGGCCAACAGTGTTGTGTCATAAGCTGCAAGTAATGCGACAAGAAGGATCACGGTTGAATATTATCATAGTTGCCGAAGGAGCATTGGATCGAGAAGGCAAGGCGATTACAGCCAATCAGGTACGTAATGCAGGTTTTGTTACGAATTACTATTACCAAAAATTTCAATTTAAGTTATCTGTTGTTAAATTCATGGGTATTGTAAACTTTTGAAATAGGCTTAAAATTGAAGTTTTGAAAATTTCGAATTTTTTTAAAGAGAGGAATTACAGGTGCGAGATGTAGTAAAAGAAAAGCTGCATTACGATACACGTGTAACTGTACTGGGTCATGTGCAACGTGGTGGAAGTCCATCTGCTTTCGATCGACTTCTTGGATGTCGGATGGGTGCTGAAGCTGTGCTTGCACTGATGGAAATGACCCCGGAATCGGAACCATGTGTTGTGTCTATTGATGGTAACGCTATCGTCCGAGTACCGCTCATGCAATGTGTTCATCGTACCCAGGCCGTTAGTCTTCAGTTACTAAAGTAGACTATTACAAAAATCTCGTGAACCTTCCGAAAATGAGCACCATATTTTGTTCAAAATTCAAAACAAATATTGCCAATTCCCTTAGTTTTCAAAATTTTTTGCTAAATCAAATAAGATAATTCGGAACAAATGCTCGCATTTGAAGGTTCAAAAAGCCATGGAAACACATGATTGGGACACAGCCGTGAAACTCCGAGGGCGAAGCTTCCAGAGAAATCTGGAAACATATCGTCTTTTAACAAAATTAGAACCCAAAAGCGATGTGCCATCGAATGAGCCATCATACAACATCGCTGTCATAAATGTTGGAGCACCTGCTGGAGGTTTCTGTCTCTTATTACTATTTTATTGATATAAATATTTATATTATAAATATTGAGTAGTCCTCGCATAATCTATTTTTTTGACATAGCTAAGGTAGAGCAATATATAGCATTCACCAGATATTGCATTAAAGATAGATTTATATCTGTTAAGAGATTGAGCGTTGAAATGCCATAATCATTGTCTTTGTGGTGAATAATTGAAAAGTTAACATTGTAAAATTGAGAATGGAAGATTAAATTACAGGAATGAATGCAGTAGTGCGTTCATTCGTTCGCATGGGGATTTATCGTCGCTGCAAAGTGTATGGTGTTAAAAATTCATTTGAAGGACTAGCAAATGGAGATCTAAAAGTAAAGCTTTCGTTACGGAAATTTTAATCCTACTTGGAAAATCTTGCTGAAAATTATCTTTATGCATGTAGGAAATGTCATGGAAAGATGTGAACGGTTGGGTTATGTATGGTGGGTCATTCCTGGGCACCCAAAAACAATTACCGGAAAAGAATATGAACAAGGTTGCTGCAACATTGGGAAAATTCAAAATTCATGGATTACTGATTGTCGGAGGTTTTGAGGTACTTCTTAATCTTCTAATTTCTGAAAGGAGATCACTGATTCTCATTGTATTTGGTAAAAGAAATTTGGATGTGATACAATAGTGGCTGTCAAATAACGCCTAATGAAATTGATGGAAAAATGACAAAAAATGCGAACTTTCTACCAGAAATCGTATAAAATCAATTTATTTTAATTGAAAACTAAAACAAAGAAAGCTAGTGTTTTAGGCCTATCATTCCTGCTTGATGCTGTCACATGCTCGTAGCCAATACCCATCACTTCGTATCCCACTTTGCGTAATACCTTGCACTATCAGTAATAACGTACCCGGCACTTCAATTTCTTTGGGTTCCGATACAGCAATCAACGAAATCTGTGCAGTGATTGATAAAATTAAACAATCTGCAACGGGTACTAAAAAACGCGTATTTATTGTGGAAACAATGGGCGGGTATTGTGGATATCTGGCGACTCTTTCGGCTCTCGCATCAGGAGCTGATAATGCTTATATATTTGAAGACAAGTTTAATGTCAGTGATATCATTGAGGATGTTAAGGTATTTTTTCTTTATATGCCGTTTTTCTACTTTATATTTCGTGCGTCGAAATGTTTATCAAAAATAATAGGAAGCCAAACTACTAATACGAAATATTTGGCCATGTAGGAGATCAGTATTTTTTAAGATAAGGTAATAATCCAATCCAGAAATTTGAACAGCATTTATCTGTTTTTAAGGTCATTGCTCGGAAAATGCGTACTGGTGTACAACGGTATCTGATTGTTCGTTGTGAACTGGCTAACAAAAATTATACTACACAATTTGTTAATCAACTTTTTTCGGAAGAGGGCAGAGGACAATTCTCAACAAGGTGATTGAGAACGTCTTACATTGCGAAATATCTTTCTAAGCGAGGTGTAAATTGAAAAGCGTTCAAATATTTATTTTATAAGTCACATTTTGCAAACTTAAAAAAAATGCGAGACAAGGCGGTAATTGTAGCCAACTTCTGTTTGCGAATATCAGCGTAAAAATTAGCATCACAAAGTGATTATAGTCAGTAAGCAAAATGAACATGTTAATCGACGGACTGCAATCAGTTTACAACGTTACTTTTACAAACAAATATATTGTTTTAAAAAAGCTGATGGAAGAAATAAAGGATTTTGTTACAGGATCAACGTTCTAGGACATGCACAACAGGGTGGTAATCCGGCACCATTTGATCGTAATATGGGTACAAAACTTGCTGCGAATGCTCTTGAACATATTTTAGCTCAAGCAAAGAAGTATGTTGATCCAGCAACCGAAATGAACAGTGCGATCGATGCGGATAGCGCTACGCTTCTTGGTCTAAAGGTAATTCGTTCACCAGTTAAAAAGTTACGAGAAAAAAATTATCAAGCAATCTTGCTAATTACATGCTAACACGAAGTGAAACCTTATTTTCAGGATCGGAGAGTGGTATTTACACCGGTTGAGGAATTAGCCAAACAGACCGATTTCGAACATCGTTTACCGAAAGAGCAATGGTGGATGAGATTACGGCCGCTGTTGAGAATATTAGCTAAGCACGATTCCACTTACGAAGCAGAAGCGTTCACTATAACAGATGTTGGGGTGGAATGAAGTCGAGTAGGTATTTTAGCTCGTCGGCGTACAGCATATAATCTTACAGGAAATACATTATCCGGAGATCTTATAGTTTTCAAAAACTTGTAAAATATTTCTAAAATATTCTAAATCCGTGTCATTCAACGTGTATAGTGTCCGACAATATTTTGAATATTGGTAACGTTTTGCTTTCTTCTCATTTCTTCCTTTGGCGCAAGCAGCCCAGTTTTACTGTTCATATGCTCTTCTCTGTCAGTGGGTCTAATAAATATTCAACAATTTACATTAGCTGGCAAATATTATTAGTAAATTTATTCAACGAAAATTTATAAACCTTTGATTAGGATTATCACACTAATGTGATTACTATATAATTACATATGTATTATTGTAGGACATTTTCATCATTTGAAACTGGTTCTTATTTTTCAGTCATTTTTGTCATCATGAATGTACACATAAGAAACACCGTTTATTATTTTGCAAAACAGCGAAAATCTTTACACAGACAAAGGAAAAAACATGCAGATTAACAGTAAGGCAGGTCATTAAAATTCACTAAGAAGTAAAAAGAATTGAAGTATGTATCAAAGATTGACATGTTGCGAAATAGAGTTAGTGAATTCGGGCATGTCAGTAGAAGTGAGAGCAATATTTTATTGAAGAAAACATTTCATTCATAAATAGCAATGTGAACAAAATTTTGATGCTTACAACAAATCCGACTGAAATAACAAAATATAAAAATTGTGCTTGCCCAACATCACATTCATTTATGATTCAAGATTAGACTATTCAAATGTAAAAGAGATAGATAAAATTTATTTCAGTTCTCAAGTAAGTTTCGAAATAATTCATTAATTTAAAAAACTTAAGCTTTCAAAACAAGTTTGGGATTTTAATTGTTGTACAATTTTTGCAAATAACACTACTCAGAACTATATAGGAAAAAAGTTTACTTTGCCTTCACGTTTCGAATGTCCGTGCAAGTCTTACATTAACAGTTGCTGGCTTAGTTTTGGTGCCAATATGCTCCATAAAACAGCGTTTGATATTTTCGAAGCGTTCATAGCAGGGTAGATAGGACAAGTCCAGTTTCGTCACATTTCCCGGTCGCTGTAAGATGATAAAATCGATGAAATTTAAATGGATGTTGGAAACCTTAAAATTTTGCTGCGGATAAAATTGATACCTGATCGCAAAACGTAAGACATTTCTGTCCAGCAAATGTTGTTGCAACGTTATTCCGTATGCAACATTCTGTATGATCCAGTCCACCGGCAGCACAATATGATATATCAGCTAATGCTGACAGCGGACATCTGTCAAGTTGAAGGTACATAGCCTTAATCGAAAATTAGCAAATATTTAGTAAAATCAAAATTTTTATTGCCATGAATCGTTTGCGTCATCTTGTTGTTATCAATTTAGAGTTGCTTGAGGAATGAAATATGCAAAAATGCAATTCAACAGACATCTTTTTCAAATTTAAATCATCACCTGCAAAGTATTCTTTGCATATATAGTATATGAACACTTTTCTAAGCAACTATCTGGAAGCTGTTGTTGAATACAGCATTCATAGAACTGTTCATTGGCCATTTGTTCGGTGTTTAATTCTTGGCGCCACAAAGAAAAAAGAAATTGATCTAAGGTTGTTACAATTCATATTTTAACCATTTAATGAAAAGTACTCTTCCACCAAAAACCAGAATTGTCTTGTTTTTAGCACAAGCTACTGGTTGGTGGTATGATGACGCGAAGGAATGTGAAATTCGATTGCATGTAAATCAACCAAAAAAACCCGCTTTGAAAATTATTAAGAAAGAAAATTTACTCATTATAAATGTAAATTTATACAAATTAAGAAACTCAATACTGTTTAGAAAATAAACATTGCTATTACTAATGAATAACGTTTGATAACAATAAAATGTACCGAGAATGTTTACGTTAGCGCCAATTAATTTTGATTATTCCATTCCCTTTAGATTAATTTTTTTGCTACAAATTCATAATTTTAAAGGTACTTTTGTAACAGGAGCAGCAACTACAGCAGCAATAGTGTCATCAGCTCCGGGCTTATCGTTTACTGCGTCCTCAAGTATTCTCGAGGATCGTGCACGTGCTCTAGAATAACATCCGTATTGTCCACATGCATATCCGGCAGCACAACCGCCAGAACATACAGGAGCCGCAGGTTGTGTACAACTATAACCACCACAAACTCCAGATGAAAAGCATGCTTTGCCGACGTGAGTGCATGCATATAGCAGAATAACATTTAGCATACCGTTAACCATAGCAATCTCACTTTATTTTCACCACCGAAAGTTCGATCTTAACAAAGTAATGCACTAACTGAGTAAAATTTTGGTAAGGATTTGCAGTTTAAAAACATTTAAAAGAACTTTCCTGCCTCGCCTTTTTATTACTTAGGAACCCTTCCAGTTACCTAATTCCAATTTTTAATCTGTTAACCAAATGATATGGTGGAATTGAAAACCTACAAAATGAAAAATATGAATTCTATATTCTCAAGACAGGATAAGAGGGAAATTGGAGCCGGTAGGATAATCAAATCTTCTTTTAAAGACCATAAATAGAGTTGCAGGGTGGAAATATTTCTTTATGATGTTGAAAAAGCAACTGATTTATATGATAGACTTTTTGGAGCTTATATATAGAATATGAATCTCCTCCCACTACCTCTCAAACTACCCATGAAAGTTTTATCAAATAGCTGATAGAATTCATTTGAATCGTGTATAACACGGACGTTTGCACAAGAAGAATCAGAAAATGAGAGAAGGAAGATGACGGGACTAGATCTGGTTCTAATTTGCTAATAACTCGCCTTTTTCATTGCTTTCTTTTTCACTTTTTTCACTGGTTTGATCGACCTTATTGACAATGATTCGGATTCACTATCTACTGCCAACGGCACTCCAAGATCCGCTCAGTTTCGTTCCACTTAACAGTCTAGCAAAACTTCGTTCCCCATTTTTATCTGTCATTTGAAATCTTTGTTCATAACGTCAAGATAGCAAGATGGAAAAAGGAATTTAACAACTAGACAGACTTACTAGAGAGATGTTTCGAAAGTTTTTAATTTTTCACCTAAGCAGCTGACATGCCAATGTTAGAATAACTAAATATGTTACCACAAAGAGAATAGTGATTTGGGATACTATCATAGGTCATATATTTCGGAAATACCTAAGAACCTTCGTGCCGTTGATAATACGGAAAAATCTTTGATCTCTCAGGAGATAATGACTCCACGAAAGCATCTTGATTGCAGATCCCACCATCGCCCAGAGTTTGGCTTAAGTTAAAAAGAATAGTAGTTTTAAAAATTAATCCTGAGCACTACAAGTTCGCCACATAAGTAGAGAAAGGAATAAACTCGACATGGACATTCCGTCTCTTTGGCTAGAAATCTTCATGAAGGAAAAAATTGCAAAACTCAACTCCTATATTAATTGGCATCACAGTTAAATGGTTCAGGCAGCGGTGAGGAATTTAATCTTTCTACTGAAAACCTAACGCCTTGATGCTTGTGTCATCGTCGGCTCGTTATAAACATATCGTAACCGTTAATTCTAACTGGCTGGTTTAGAATTAGCACCAGCTCAGAAAAACTCGCCTTCTCTTCATCCCTCCATATTTTTCTTCTTATACATTGGATTACAAAACAAAAAGATAAATAATCCAATAACTCGTTTCTCTTCACCAAATTTCGAAAATAAAAGTTCTCAGTTCCATGTAACTTTTGCATATATCATTTGGGGAAGACGTAATTTCCTTTGAATTTTAAATTATCTCCATTTATCAGAACACTTTTCTATCAGAATTCCTAGTTTTTACAACTTCAATAAGCAGGAAGCGATTGAATATTGGTAATCTTATTGGGGAAAACATGAAGTTCCAAAAACTAGAGAGATAAATTATCTCTATTAACTATGATTTGTATAAGAAATTTTCCTGAAAATTAATCATGAAGTTTATTTGATCAGCTAGAGCTGCTTGACATTCCAAATGTACAAAATTTTTTGAATTTTTCGAAAGTGGAATAATTTATCTTTTTTTTTAGTTTATAGACAAAAACCATATGAGCAGTTATGTAAAAGTGTCCCACCGTCTGAAGAGAACTAAACTCAGCATTATCCATGTATACACCACAAAATCTACGCTAAGATAATTCTGAATCTTAACTCCAAATTTTTTTGAATTTTTGCAAAAGAAAATTTAAGCCTCAACACAACATGGCCGACAATTCCCTCTTCATTTTGTAAATTGGCATGACCATTAAGAACTCCATATAAATTATTTCGTTATTCACTTTTTAGTGAATAGCGTTTGACAATTTTAATATCGGTGACCAAATATTCAGGATAAAAAGACTTATAACTCGTATAACTGGGTAACCAACCAGACTGCATATCCGAATTTCACTATGATTAATAAACAAATTCATTATGACACACCAACTAATGCGACATCTAAAACGTATTTTTTAATGAAACTTATCACGAAGTGATATCACGAGTCCAATCGCGTATCAGATGTTCATCCACAAAAACCGGTTCATCAGGATTTCTGAGAAAAAACTATTATTTTTTCCAGCAATGCATAAATTCTGGTTCTATACCTCCTTCAACTCCAATTCCCGGATGCACATCCGAAAATATCTGCACCAACGTCCCGAAATTACTGTATATAAATGCCTATCCCTTTCTGCCATTCAACAAAACCTCTTACAGATTCCGCACTTTTCGCAACACTATCACCCTAGTGCCCTCTTCATTTCCATATTTCTCTCACTCGCTCCTCCCCATCCCGTAGTCACCTAGCACCTACTTATGCGACATGGTAACTATTGTGAACATATATGGAATAACCGCAGGGCGTGGGGAGTAACGTGTCATGTGTGTTACCTGTGTCATTTTTTGACACTTCTGGTTCGTGGTTTTCCCTTCTTATGCCTCTTCTTTCCATTGCGCTTTATTTCGTTTTGCGTAATAAGCATGATGATCTTGGCACTTAGTGTTCTCACCTCCAATAAACAATAATCAAATAGTGCCTCTATCTGAAATTAGTCTACAAATAAGCAAATTAACGAGAGGAAACTTATTCAATATACAGCGTATTCATTGTGGACTTTTAAGTTAAGCATGTAAGTTACATGAGAAATAAAAAAGTAGTGAAACTTTTGCATCGCTTTTAACTGTCTCGTTTTTTAACTGTAAAGAATCTTTCGGTTAACATAGGTCCTATTCTTTTTCTACTCTTCCTGCTAAATCGTCCAAAATTTACATCTGCGTAATTTTTATTGTTTACGTGCAATGATGTATTCTTAAAGAATTATCTGCCTACGAATTTCATAACCAGTGAAAAAAATCCTGGAGAAATACTGTAATGTTGTGGTGGAAAGATTTTCTTGCTGCTCTGATTGTCGCCTCTTTAGTTAATAGTACCGAGTTGCCTTCAGATGGTATTACAATTTCCGTAGAGCGAGTGATTGATATATCGACACAGGTAACTTCGATTTCTTGTTTTCCTAGAATTTACCAGTCACTCAGTGCAATGTTGCTTCTAGCATGACTGTATTCTAGACAGGTCATTTGTCATACTGAGCCCTCGGAACAAGTGTAGTAAACTGTTGCATTCAATCCATTATTTGATCAATTGAAGTGATCTTTTTCATTGAAACTGTACAGCTGAATAGGTTAAGGACAAAAAAGTTACAGGAAAGAACTTTTTTCATTAAAAAAATCGTGTGGTAGGTTAAACTTTTTTCATTAAGTTAATATACTTCAGGTCTTTTTCCAGGTAGTGAAAGTAACAGATAAATATGAAGTAACAAATGATGGCAGTAAGGAAATCAGTAGTTTCGTACATTTAGTCCATGAAAAGGAGTACTTGCGGCTTGCATACATTTCTGCGGTTGTTTCAAAAGAAGATACGAGATTAAAAGTGTCAAATATTGAGAATGAAAAGCACAATATAAAAGAAGGATTTGTGGCTTACAAGGTTTTTATTTCACTTTTCTAAAATTTTTGATATTCGGTCGGGTGTTATCTGCAACTGAAAGAAGAAATTATCATAAAATTTTGTTTGTAGATTGAATTGCTAGATACTATTCCACCGAACGGTAAAGCAGTTATTGCCGTGGAGTACCAATTGACAGAATATTTAGAACTGCATCCAAAAAGAATCACCCAGGCTGAATCGCAGTAGGTTTTCATTATGTTGTTAAGTTCTTTGTTTTTTTAAAGACCGTTTGCTTTCTCAAATAACTGAATTCCATTTTATACATTCTAAGCAAGATTATCGATCACTGTTTACTGAGATCAGCAAAATTGGTTCACATTTTATGATTTTGCGTCTAATTTGTTTTTTCGCTATTATCGATTGATAGAACTTTCAATGAAGCACCGATCATCTCAAATAAATTTTATCGGTTGTTTCAGAGAATTTTTTTAACCACGATATCACTAATTTATAATTTTTCTAACTTAGGTTTGCTATTTACAAAGGAAATGCGTATGTTCCGAGTATTTATCCAATGAAACAGGAAATAACTGTGATACTTTTACCTAGCGGAAAACTTGAATCTCGTACAACAGTTTCACCAACATCAGTTGACAATGGTAAAATAACTTATGGTCCGTATGTTAACCAGAAACCGTATGCAGTGGTGAGATTTTTAATTTCATAAATATAAATAAACATATATATTTGTTTATCTGTTTATTTATTTATTTAGCAATTAATTTTGCTGTGATCTTGAATTTTTGAAGTCGAAACTTTGAAATCACACCTTAATGGTTAAATAACTGTTTTAAACTGTAAATTTGTTTGAGATGGAAATCGTTGTACACTGTGAAAACAACACGCCGTTTGTTGTAGCAACTACTGTCGTGCGAGTGATTGAAGTTTCACATTGGGGTAATATTGCTGTGGAAGAAGCGATTAGTGTTATTCATAAGGGAGCAGAATTAAAGGTATTCTTGATTTTGGTTCAGGGCGTATTATATTGAAGATATTGTAATATCTTCTGATGTTCAATTTCCAGGGTTCATTTTCTCGTCTTGATTTCCAAATGGATCGAAGGGGCAGTAAAAGGCCGATAGTAACTCAATATAAAGTATGTGTTTTGCTAAACTTATGAATTTCAACTGTCAGTATTTATGTTTACGCACTTTGGCTTAATTCAAACAAATGATTGCAGACTTTGTTACCAGCATCCGCGAAGGATATTTATTACCGCGACGAAATTGGTAACATCTCTACTTCAGCTGTGCGGAAAATGACAGATGTTGTTGAATTAATTGTACAACCGCGTTTTCCACTGTTCGGTGGATGGAAAACAGATTATGTACTCGGTTACAACGTTCCAGCTTATCAATATCTTTATTCATCAGGCAATAAATTCGCACTGAAGATGCGTATTGTCGATCATCTATTTGACGATGCCGTTATTGAAAACTTAAAGTTGAAAATTATACTACCAGAAGGGAGCAAGTATGTGTTTATATTTCACAGTTTAGTCTAGTTTTTATTTTGATTTACGATTTTTAGTTGTAGTCGAGTGGCTAAAACTGATGCAATTTTCCAGTGAATATTTTGTTTTCAGAAACTTCAAACTGGCAACACCATATCCAGTGACGAGACATCCGGATGAATTGCATTTTACATATCTGGATACCACCGGCCGTCCTGTTATCACAATTGAAAAAGATAACCTCGTGGACTTCCATATCCAGATGTTTACTGTATTTTTTTTTCATATCTAGATGTTTACTGTATTTAGGTAGTTTTCTTAGGACTCTGTAGATATTGAATCATAATAAATTGGGAAACTTTAATTCTGTGTCTATGATTGAAAGTGAAGGAATTCGTGATTTCCATTAGTAAATAGACTACAGAGCCATTCTGGTAACCACTAAACGACAAACGACACATTAATTAAAGTGAGGTAAGTTTCCCTTATATGTCAGTTATTTTTCACAATATGATTTTGCAGTTACACTATGAATTTGACCGTATGCAGCTTTGGAGAGAACCCTTCCTCGCTTGTGCTGCTTTTGCAACTTTGTTTCTTGCAGTCATCGTATATGTCCGATTGGATTTCACAATCTCGCCTGTAACTTATTCATTTTTAATAATTTTTTTATTGGAGGTTTCTTATTATGTGGGATATATATCTTCAGTTTTATTGATATTTTCCAAAAACTCCAATATAAAAATATTTTCTTAGTTCCAAACGATCCCTTGTTCAGTTGCAGTCTAAACTTACTGATCCTTAAAAGTTTTAAAGGTACGTAACAATGTAACAATATACTTCATTGTCTCTACGTTGTTTCTTTTCCACTTTTCCATTACATTCTTGCTAATGAAGCTTAAAATTAGATACTGAGAGTTTTGCATACGTTTTAAGGACGTTGCAACAGAAAGTCGCTTGCAAGCTCAGGGACAGGTGGAGCAGCTAACAGATCTTCATGCCGATCGATTAAAAATTTATGATCATTTTGCGGATGCTGTGAATAAATTCAAGAATACTAAGGTCTTGTTTAACTTTTCATATTTTTGTAAGAAAAGTGCAGGCAGTAGTGTTGTTCTTATAAAAAATTGTTACCGTCACACACCTTCAGGATTCAGCTGCATTTACAATAGCGAAAAAGAAGGCGGAGAATGATCTGAAAAACATTGGGCAAGCTATCGGTGATCTGCAGAGCGAATTAAGATCTACTAACGCTGACATATCTGACAAGGTATTTTCTTATTTTTCAACTCCAGCTTACTGGTAATTGCCATTTGAGAAGTAGTGAAACTGGATGTAGTATTAATTTGCAGATATTTAAATAAAATGCTAATCATTTCAGACCTTTTTATTTTCGATTTCGTTAAAATTATGTATGTTATATTTTGTACAAGATAGGAAGTGTAAGCTCCTCCTTGGCAATAAGTAAATGCAAAAAAAAAATGAAGTAATCGGGCCAAATAGATTTTAGTTATAGTGTTCGTGATCGTTACTTGATTTCAGCTGAATGAAGTCAACAAAATACACAAATTAATGATGGATGTTATAAACAATTATTTGGGACAGGTAAGATTTTCGAAACACTGAATTAGGAAGCTTAAACTGGAATGAATGACTGTTGGGTTTCATGTTTTTGTGTAGTGCTGAGTGTTTTCTTGATTCTTGTGGATAGAGTGAAAAAGGTACTCTATAACGTTATATCATCTTGAAGCCTGGAATTCCAAGCAACACCAAACAGCAGTCCACATCACTATTAGTAAAGTGCCAGACAAAACTCGTGCATATTTTACCTCTGGATATGTTGAAAGCCAAGAAATTTTTTCTATACTATGTCAAGCAGTCCCAAAGACTTCACTAGATGTATATCAGTAGTTCTGCGATGCATGAACTTTCGGAAGTTTCATTTTGCCAGTTTCCAAACCATTCTATTTAGTTCATATGTGTTAAGCGGTCATTAGTTCAGACTGTTTGACTTAAGTCAGTGAAAGTATGGCAACGTTCTTCGAAATATGTATCGATAAGATATGTCAAAACGAAACAGTTGCTTTAATTTAAAATAAATTTAGAAGTTTTAGACGGAACGCTTTGTTAAAGGGCAGCTTTCCAAAACGGCTTTCGCCGATGTAGAGAAATCGTATGCACAGAAACTGAATGAAGCAAAGGAGAGAATGGATTCGGTAATTTATGCTCTGTAGTTACACATACGGATGGAATTATGATGAAAACATTTGATAGTTGAAGTTAGGTACCATCCATGATGTAGTTGATGAATTTATTTAAACTAAGCGTTGATTTTGGAAAGAACATTTCTCCATTGTTGAATGCATCATGGATTACTACCTCTTTTAGCTTTGAATTTTTGCTGAAGCGTACGATGTGTTTATGATTCATTTTTATCCTGGTTGAGAAAAATGTTGTATGGGTATAAATAATATAATGAGTGCATGATTGTTGTATTTTTTATTATTTATTCAACATTTCATTTGTTCAATTATTAGTGTTTTTTGGTATACCGCGTTAAAATTATTCTTATTCTTCATAGAAGTTTGTTAAGGTTACATCTGACTTTTTTTATTTGCTTGTTGTTTTCGTTACAAATCGAATGATAAAGAGCTCAATTAGCTCGGGATGACTTCAGTGCAATTTCTGAAATATTGTAGTACGATACAGTGTCAAGTGGGCACATGATAATTTGACAATTAAATTTTGGAGAATTTCTTTCATTACTAAGTATAAGTTTTGTTTCACTAAACATAAGTTTAACGTTGGGAATTCATTTTTTAGCTTACTTTAGAATTCTCCATTACTTTTTTGTTGCTACATTCGGTCAATTGTAAGATTATAAATTTTATTAAATATTGAATAATTTTGTTCTTAATTGCCTGCATATGCTGCTCTATGTATGACTCTTGCAAATTTTGTACTTATAACAGAATTTAGGCTCAGTGTTTGGTGATTCGGAAAATTTTCAGAGTAATCTACAGCGGGATATTTGGTATCTTTTTGATGCAATAGTCTGTAACTATCTAGTATTAATTTGCAGTGTACACGGTTGATGCCTAATAGATATGTGTCTTTCATTTACTACCGTTATAATACTTTAGAAATACTTTAATATCTATATATATTTAAATTAGAGATTTTTCTTATGGATTAGAGGTGTAACTATATGTAAAATTTTGGAGAAAACAACATAGAAAACGTTTTAGCGTTTATATCTCTGGTCTTGTTTTACCGAGATGGTCTTTGTATTTTCAGATATTACGTGTATTGTGAAAAAGATTTGCTTATTTGATGATATTCTGGTATGACATATCGAGGAAGCAGTAGTGGTGTAAATGTGATGGGCGAAAATAACGATGGTACATCTGTGGAACATCGTAATGACGCGTTGGTTGAAAAGCTTTCCGGAAAGGTGGCTGCACTGAAAAAGATAACGATAGCAATTGGCGATGATGTACGGGAACAGAATCGTTTGTTAAATGAAATGGAAACGGATTTCGATGCGTCGAAAGGTTTGCTTGGTTCAACGATGCGAAAATTGAATCGTGTTACTAAAGCTGGTGGCAAGCATTTGACATGTTATCTTGTCTTATTTGCATTATTCGTCTTCTTGATAATTTATTATTTGATTCGTTAGCCCAAATTAAGGAAATATATGCGATAAGAATCTATCGCCTTGTGTCTTTCGTGATCGTCCTTTTTTTCTTTTGGGTCCATTTAATTTTTGTTGTAAGTCCTTCTGTCGCGTTTTCTGAATATTAGGTAATTTTATAAGATATAGGTAATTATATATATATGTTCCATTTTTAAACCTGCAGAGAATCTAAAATATAATATTAACTTTCACAGCCAAAATGATCAGCTTTTATAACCTCATCGAGATAACAATAAATAATGAAAAAGTTATTAATAATGCACATGGT